AAAACCTCATAAATGTCCCTCCTTTGTCCCACCCTTTCCAAGATGAACCTAAGACAATCCAGGTAGTGTTCCCCTGACTGTGGTAAGCAGCAAGCTCATTTTTGCTTTATCACTAGCCTGCTCTGGGCTTTTGGGGAGCAGCATTTGGTAGCAGAAATGCCATCGTGGCCAGGTCATTGTAGTTGCTTTGGTGTCCTGTGCTCACTGTTGAGTGCACGTCTCTTTGAGGACCGTGCAAGGCCATGTGCAAGGTAGTTAAAGGTGTCTGCCATGGATCTAGATGCCAACAATGACCAGCAGCATCATCTGGGGTAAGCCCTGTCTCTGTGTCTGTGGGTGGTGAGCTGAATAAATAATGGCTCCAGAGTTACCCACTGCCAACTCCTTCTACCTTGTATGGCAAAAGGGACTTTGCAGATATAATTAGGCTTAGAGATCCTGGGGTGGAGAAATTGTTCTTGATTATCCAGAAGAACCCTAAACGTAATCACAAGTATCCTTATGAGAGAAAGCAGAGGGAGGTTTGATAGAGAGGAGAGGCAATGTGCAGATAGAAGCAGAGACTGTAGTTCGTGCCCTTTGAAGATAGAGGAAGGGGCCACAAGCCAACGAATGCAGATGGCCAACAGAGGCTGAAAAGGCAAATAAACGTGTCTCCTCCCAAGCCTCTAGAAGGAGCCAGCCCACACCTTCAGACACAGGAATGAGACTAACTTCCGGCTTCTGACCTCCAGAACTGCAGGTCCCACCCAATACAGTTGTGTTGTTTCAAGCCAGCAGGTTTGTGGCGATTTGTTACAGCAGAAATTGGAAACAAATTATCTTTTTTTCTTACAACTTTAAAGAGCATTATAGACACAGGACCTATCTCCTAGGTTTTGTATGAAGGCTAAATGAGTTAATTTATGTAAAGCACTTATATCAGTATCCAAGATATAATAAGCAGACAATAAATACTGAGAATAGTTATTATAGGTCTTATATTATATATTATATTATATTATATTACTGAGTATTATATTATGTCCATGAGGCTGCATATGGGCAGGGTGTCTGTCTGTCCCAACTCTGGGAGGCAGTGGTTGGCACAGTGCCGAGTACCCCATAGGGCTTCCATGAGTATTTGCTGACAGTCAAGTCAATGGATGACGTACAGGTTTCTCTACCATGCCAGATACTCATCCCTTAAAATGCCTTGTTATTGAAAGAAAGCAATCGAAGAGGTGCTTCTAAACAGTACAAAGCCCTGAAGTTATTTCTGTTTGGCTTTGAAATAAACTATGTAGTGTTAATGGCAGTAGAATTATCTTCCTCATTTTGTCTTAGTCTTACGTAATTCATTTTTCCCTTGATAAGCAACCCAAAGTTGGAAGAAATAGCCTGGGTTTGTACTGAGTGGAAGGGGCCAAAGGAAGTGAGGAAGGGAAAGTCATCTATGAACACTTAGCAGAGACAGTGGAACAGTATCGGCACTCAGATACTCTACCCTTAGACAGGAAGCAACCTGCAGGCCCTGTGTTATTCAGGGTTCTCCAGAAAAACAGAGCCAATTGGAGACAGATAGGTGGATACAGAGACAGATTTGTTTGTTTGTTCATTTACTTATTTATTGATTGGAATTTGTTCATATGATTGGAGGGGCTAGTGAGCCCTAAATTTGCAGGGCAGGTGAGAAGTCTAGAAATTCAGGTAAGGGTTGATCTTGCAGCCTTGAGTCCGGGTTCCACAGGGCAGCAGGTTGGCACCTTGGCAGGGTTTCTGTGCTGCAGTCTTGAGGCAGAATTGCTTCCTCTTTGGAACATGTCAGTCTTGGCTTTTGAGGCCTTCAACTAATTAGATGATCCACCCACATTAATTTATGATCACATTTTTAAAATAGCTTCACAGCAGCATTTAGACTAGGTTTGATCAAACAACTGGGCACCATAGCCCAGCCAAGTTGACACATGAAGTTAACCATCATAAGCTCCAAAATGCCTAAGGGGGAGCTCATGCGTTTTTATATTCATCATTCTTCTGATGGCCCCATGAAAACCCATCATAAAAAAATGAAAGACATGAACTTGGGGAATCCAGATAGAATTTTCTTTTCTTATTTATTTATTATCATTATTTTTAGACAAAGTCTTACTCTGTCGCTCAGGCTGAAGTGCAAATGAGCAATCATGGCTCACTGCACCCTTGACCTCCTGGTCTCAGGAGATCCTCCCACCTCAGCTTCCTGATTAGCTGAGACTACAGGTGCATACCACCACACCCAGCTAATTTTTTTTTTTTTTTTTTTTTTTTTTTGGTAGAGACAAGGTCTTGCCATGTTGCCCAGGCTGGCCTTGAACTCCTGGCCTCAAGCCATCCTCTTGCCTCAGTCTCCCAAAGTGTCGGGATTGCAGGCATGAGCAACCGTGCCTGGCCAGATTGAATTTCCAAAACAGTTCACCACGAGTTCCCATTACATATCTTATAGACAGTCAGCAAGTCCATCTTAAATACAGCCTAATTTTTATTTTCAGATTTGCAGCGTAGCTGTTCTAAGCCAGCTTTGAGGGCGATATGCACCTGTGCCCCACACATTAGTGAGGCTCACAGCAAGTTAGGTAGATGGGATCTGAGTCTTGATCGGCCATCAGCATATGGACTGTGACTATTTGTAAGGTTATGCTGGGTCAGTCTCAGTGGTTTAGCTGGAATTTTCTGTTCTTACTGTCCTCGTCTGTGTAATACCTGGTTCATGGCTTGTGTCCCAAATGTGTTAATAGTTACAAATAATGTCTGAGCATGCATACAAACATGGGCTTTTCTTCCAGTATTTTTTTTTCTGTCAATATTTTCTACTTTATTTCAGGAAAGTTCTCTTCCCGCTCTTTCTTAGTGAGGCATTTCATAAAAATCTCATTTTGATCCTATATCTCTTTTCTCAATTTTTGGAAAATTCTGATAGATTTCCTGAAGATCCAAATTGTGCCAGGCTACAGTGCTTTGCCCTTGTTTCTTAGGATGTCTAATTAAGGAAAGATAGTCCCCAAGGCAGGTTTCCAAAGATAGTCCCCAAGGCGGGTTTCCAGAATTCTGCCTTCACATGGTGTTGTAAGGAAATCTATTTCTCCTTTGCACAATAAGAGAAGCTTCCCATGACTGACTGTAATCCCTATAGGAACAGCTAGGAGGCTTGACCAGCATTGTACTAGCCAACTCATCATTGGATATTGTATTACATGAGACATATTATGTTGTAGGCCACTTCCATTATGTCTTAGCAATAGGAGCCGTATTTGCTATTATAGGGGGCTGTATTCAGTGATTCCCTCTATTTTCAGGCTAAATACTCAACCAAACCTATGCTAAAGCTCATTTTGCTATTGTATTTATAGGCCTCAATTTAACTTTTTTCCCACAACATTTCCTTGGCCTCTCTGGCATGCCTTGACGCTACTCCGATTATCCCGACACGTACACCACATGAAATATTATCTCATCTGTAGGCTCATTTATTCCCCCGATGACAGTAATTCTAATAATTTTCATGATCTGAGAAGTCTTCACTTCAAACTGAAAGGTTCTAATAATTGAACAACCATCTACAAACTTAGAATGACTGTGTGGCTGTCTCCTACCCTAGCACACGTTCAAAGAACCAACCTACATGGAAACCTAAATGAAAAAGGAAGGAATCGAACCCCCAAAGACTGGTTTCAAGCCAATCCCATAACCTCTATGACTTTTTTGATATTAGTAAAATTATTTCATAACTTTGTCAAAGTTAAGTTATAGGTTAAGCCCTGTATATCTTACTGGCTCACTCAGTTCAATTAGGCCTTCAAGATGCCACATCCCCTATTATAGAGCCACCTTCCATGACCACACCCTTATAATTATTTTTCTAGTCAGTTCCTTACTTCTATACATTATTTCTCTACTATTCACAACAAAACTGACTACTAACACCATAGATGCCCAAGAAGTAGAAACCATCTGAACTATCTTCCCTGCCATCATCTTAGTCTTAATCGCCCTCCCATCTCTACGCATCTTATATATAACAGATGAAATCAAGAACCCTTCTCTCACCATTAAAACAATCGGACATCAATGGTATTGAAGCTACGAATATACAGATTATGAAGAATTAAGCCTTGACTCTTATATACTTCCAACAACAGACGGAGGTGATCCTATGTTATATCAACACTTACTCTGATTCTTTGGTCACCCTGAAGTCTACATCCTCATCCTACCAGGCTTCAAGATAATTTCCCATATTGTAACATATTATTCTGGAAAAAAAAATAGCCATTTGGATATATGGGCATGGTGTGAGCTATAATATCAATTGGTTTCTTAGGATTTATCTTATGGGCTCACCATATATTTACAGTAGGCATAGATGTATATACACGAGCCTACTTCACCTCTGCTACTCTAATTATTGCTATTCCCACTGGCGTCAAAGTTTTGGCTGACTAGCTACACTTCACAGCAGCAATACCAAATGATCCCCTGCAATGCTCTGAGCCTTGGGATTTATTTTCCTTTTTACAGTAGGAGGCTTGACCAGCATTGTACTAGCCAGCTCATCATTGGATATTGTAATCACATGATACATATTATGTTGTAACCCACTTCCATTACGTCTTATCAATAGAAGCCATATTTGCTATTATAGGGGACTTTATTCACTGATTCCCTCTATTTTCAGGCTATATACTCAATCAAGCCTATACCAAAGCTCATTTTGCTATTATATATTTTCTACATCTGACTGAACACGTGGTTTGAAACTATCTTTCATTTTATTTTTATTTATTTATTTATTTAGATGAAATCTTGCTCTTGTCGCCCAGGCTGGAGTGCAATGGCGTGATCTCGGCTCACTGCAACCTCCGCCTCCCAAGTTCAAGCGATTCTCCTGCCTCAGCCTCCTGAGTCGCTGGGATTACAGGTGCCCACCACCACGCTCGACTAATTTGTGCATTTTTAGTAGAGACGAGGTTTTGCCATGTTGCCCAGGCTGGCCTCGAACTCCTGACCTTGTGATCCACCCACCTCAGCCTCCCAAAATGCTGGGATTACAGGCATAAGCCACCACACCTGGCCTTGAAACCAACTTTCAAAATGTGGTCTTTTTGCAGTACAGCTGGGATGTCTCTGCCTTCCCCACTTCCCCACCATGCACCTGTGTAAAGGGGCAGCTTCTGTCTCACAGGTGTAACGGATTTCTTCCCTGTCTCCCCTTTCTCTTCTGTCAATGAGTTGTGGGTGGCTGTCAGCTGGAGACCGCTCTCAGGGTCTCATGCACTGAATGCAACATGGACACAAACTTATGATAGGGCCAGATGGGGGACAGCAAGAGGTGAGCACCGGAAATTGCATGAGCTAGGAGTCACTGCCTGGTAGTGGGTGAGGGACACGTGATAGGGACAGTTTAGCAGCTGGATCAGGGTGGAAAACCAAACCCTGGCAACTGAGCAGTGGCACAGCCCTGCTTCTGTGGGGACAAGTGTCCACTGGCCCTGGCCAGGCTGGCCTCCAGGGGGCATTGTTGCAATATGCGATCACCCCAAAACACTTCAGCTTGAAGAAGATCTAGGACACAGTTTGTTGTTACCACCTCAGAGCATTTAGATGGGACCTGATGGGTGGAATTGAAGCTAAAAACCCATCCACCATTTCTAGTTAGTACAGTAAGCTCCTAATTTACAGAAATGCTTGGGAAATTGAGAATCATGATAAAATCCTCATCCTTCCTCCTCTTTTGACCAAATCTTTCTAAAATGCACAATTATAATTTCTTATCTTTTAGTACATAGTAATTATGTTATATGTGGTATATACACTACATAAATATAGTTCATTAAATCATTCTTTGGTGTTTGAAGACTTTCTAATTCATTACTTCATTCCAGACATCAATGACAACAGCACGCGTGGAACAGGTACACGTATGAGCTACCTACTAATATGCCCTGGATTTTGATTGTATTTTGTGAAAACCTTGGTATGGGTTATTTTTAAATGAATGTTTTCCCAAATTTTATGCTGAAACTGGGATGCATCAAAATTAGCTTGGTTATAATCTTGTCAGTGATGTCATCCAGAGGCCACCAGGAACACACCTGTAGCCCAGCAAAGTTGAGGCCATCGACTGGCTCATCACAACAAGGAAGGCTGTGCACCACCGGGAGCCAGCAGCAGCTCAGCAGCAGCAGTCAGAGGGCCTTGGGAAAGACTTGGAGGGTTTGGCTTATATGAGGTGATCTTGGGGAGAGTCAAGGAAACAGGTTGTGATGGATACTATTGAGTGTCAACGTGGTTGGATTGAAGGATGCAAAAGATTGTTCCTGGGTGTGCCTGTAGGAGTGTTGCCAAAGGAGATTAACATTTGAGTCAGTGGACTGGCAGAGGCAGACTCACCCTTAAACTGGGTGGGCACCATCTAATCAGCTGCCACAGCAACTAAAATAAAGCAGGCAGAAGAAGTTGGAATAAGCAGACTTGCTGAGTCTTCCAGCCTTCATCTTTCTCCCATGCTGGATGCTTCCTGCCCTTGAACATCAGACTCCAGGTCCTTCAGCTTTTGGACTCTTGGACTTACACCAGTGGTTTGCCAGGGGCTTCCAGGCCTTTAGCCACAGACTGAAGGCTGCACTGTCAGCCTCTCTACTTTGAAGTTTGGGACTCAGACTGGCTTTTTGGCTCCTCAGCTTGCAGTCGGCCTATTGTGAGACTTCCCCTTGTGATCATGTGAGCCAATTCTCCTAATAAACTCCTCTTCGTATATACATCTGTACTATTAGTTCTGTCCCTTTAGAGAACCTGACTAATACACAGGCCATGGTCAGATGGAGTGCTGTCTGGAGATGGGAGGAATTCTGCGACTGAATGTCTTAATTAATTGTCCTGGAAGGTGGGAGAAATGGAGTGAGGCTGGTGCTACAATTGGTGAAAAAGCAGCAGCTGCTCATATTCGCCAGGGTTGGGGGATGCCTAGGCATATTTGTGGTATTGACCACATTCTTGTTTTCGTTTGTGACCAGACCAGATTACAGAGGGGTATTGATTTGCCTTGCTCCCCGCACGCACCATCACAGGGTGTCCCTGTCTGGGGTGGGTGCTCTTTGGCATTGCTTGTGTCCCTAGGAGTCCATCAAGGCAGAGCTGCAAGTACCAGATCAGCTTCCAGGTCTTCCAGGCTGCATGTCCCCCTCAATGTCCTGTAAGTTCTGATCTGGCAGGTACTGAATACTCAAGGGTTCACATTCTCTTAGCCTAGAGGTAGCTGCAATACTTATGAAAGGCATTTGGCTGATGTGTTCTCAAAGGAGAGGGAAACTGTCTGTGTTTGTTACCTGTGGCTGCATAACAAATGACCACAGCCTAGTGACTTGAAATATCACACACCAGTTACCTCCACTCTCAGTAGGTCAGAAGTTCAAGCAGAGCCCAACTGTGGCCTCCGCTCTGGGTCTCAGCAGGCTACAGTTGGGTCAGTCAGGGCTGTGGGCCTGTCAAAGGCTCTCTTAGGTTGTTGGTGGTTGTAGGACTGAAGATCCTTTTTGGAGGGGCAGTCAGCTGGTGTATTAGTTCATTTTCACACTACTGATAAAGACATACCTGAGATGGGGTAATTTATAAGAAAAAAAAGAGGTTTAATGGAGTTAAGGAACCCAGTTCCACATGGCTGGGGAGGCCTCATCATCATGGTGGAAGGTAAAAGGCACGTCTTACATGGCAGCAGACAAGAGAGAATGAGAGCCAAGCAAAAGGGCTTTCCCCTTATAAAACCATCAGATCTTGTGACACTTACTACCACGAGAACAGTATGGGGGAACCACCCCCATGATTCAATTATCTCCCACTGAGTCCCTCCCATAACACGTGGGAAATATGGGAGCTACAATTCAAGATGAGATTTGGATGGAGACAAGGCCAAACCACATCAGCTGGGGACCACTCTCAGCATCCAGGGGCTCCCAAGGATCCTGCCACGTGGCCTCTCACAGTCCTTCCTACAGGACAGCAGCCTTCTTACACAAGTCAGCAAGAGGTAGTCTCTCTTGCCCCCACTTGCTAAGGCAGAATCTCACATCAGATGTAACCATCACATTTGCTGTATTCTATTATCTAGAATTACATCATAAGCCCCTTTAGGCTCAGGGGAGTGGATTATCCAAAACATAGATCACTGGGGACGGGTGACCTTAGGTGTGTTTGCCACATCACCTAAGAGTATACGAAACATCTCTCTCATTTCTTCCATTTCTTGAGCTTTTAAAAAATCACTAAACGAATAAACAGACAATTTAGGTTGCATGAATGAATACAAAAAAAGAACATATTATCATTCCTAATAATCACAATTTCTACCACAAAGATGATCACTTGTAACGCTTGCATGTATGTACTGGACCAGTTTTTATAAACCTTCCCAGCTATGGTCTACTGTTCAATGTGACTGATGACTCTTCAGACGTATCGTCTGGGACCAGCCACATCCTTGCAGGCCACCAAGAGGAGGCATCCATCTCCGCAGACGAGAGACGAGCTCTGGGCTCCTTCTGCACCTTCACAGTGAAGGCCATTGCTCAACAGGGTACATGGATCCCTGTGCTGCCCTAGACATGACATTTTTAAATTTTTGACTTTTCACCCTGTAATGGGGATTAAGGGCAGTGCTACTGGTATCTAGTAGGTATAGCCTAGCGACATTGCTAAATACCCTACAATACTGATCATGTGAACCAAGTCACCTAATAAATTCCCCTTCATGTATACATCCATCCTATGAGTTCTGTCCCTTTAGAGAGCCCAGACAATACACAGGCCGTGGTCAGATGGAGTGCTGTCCAGAAATGGGTGTAACTCTGTGATTGAATGTCTTAATTAATTGTCCTGGAAGGTGGGAGAAATGGAGTGAGGCTGGTGCTACAATCGGTGAAAATACACTTTGAAACAAATACATTGTGGCCTCCGAACACAAAGAATTGTCCCGCCTGACATGTCAATAGTGCCAGGGTTGAGAACACTGGCCCCAGCCTTGCATAAGTGTGTGAAGTTCAAGACACTGTGGAGGTTTTTCTTCTCTTGTTTTGTTGCTGTTTACAGAGATGTTCTTTTCTCTCCCCATCATACTTCCCAGTTCAGCCCAATAGAAATGGATTGAGAGAGTGAAAGTCACTGATCTCAAAGAATCTACAGAATTCAGCATTTTGAAAATCACATAGCAATCTGGGGTAGGCATTTACATGCGCTAATAAACCAGGCAAACATCCGACTCCCAGGATAAAGTGACGGAGAGCAGTAGAAGGCTTGTTGAGCCTTAAGGAATAAGGGGAAAATCATGCTATGAAGTGCAGGACCAGCACAGACCCAGAGGAGGGGATGCAGCCTGGGGCCAGCAACCCGGCGCCTCCTTCTCCCCAGGATGCAGTGCTGACTGATCCCCGGATGTCCGTGGTCCCACGTCCCAGGTCCTGAGAGCCCTTCAAAGGTGGACAGTTCTTTGGGAATTTTAGGACGCAGCACTTGAAGAGAGATTTACCTAAACTTTCCTCCTGGGAGCCCGTGATCATTTGAAAGTAACAGAAGAGAGTTGTCAGGCTGAGCAAACAGTTTCAACAGGCACTTGGTGAGAATGGGAAGCATCCTTTCATTGTGAAATCGTGGGGACAGAGGAGGAATTCACGGGATCAGAGCACTGAGAAACTCCAGAGGCTTCTGGTTCACCTCCCTGATTCCACAGATGAGGATCAGAGGCAGAGGTGGACGTTGGAATGGACAAGCCTGCCCACTCCTCGGCTCTCCATGGCTCTGTGCTTAGTCTGTTTCTGCAATTTGACATGAGGCCTGGCCCTCGGGAAAGCAGCAGGGCCTCATCTCCTCCCTGTGCTGCTCTGAGGTGGAGCCTTCTCAGGGTCAGCCCAGCTCTGGAGCACCTCTCCAGCTGGGTTACCGAAGCTGTCTGGTCCCAGGGCGGTGCTGAGTGACAGGCACGCCAGCCAATCCAATTGGCCATTTCATACCTAATGCATCTAACTGATAAAGATTTAACGCCCTGTCTCCAAGACATAGGCTTTACATAAACAGCTTTAAGGACCTCTTCACTTAGAGACCAGACTCCTTAGTGGTGGAACCTCAGGCATCCGTGCAGGATGTAAGAAAACTCCCATATACACGTGAACTGAGAAGTGTGTAGAAGAATAAATACTGTAATAGGTAATAAAATGTATGTATTGTTATTTATATGCTACTTTCTCTTTCTCCCTCTCTCTGTGTATATACATACATACAAAAATGTATTCATTCTATGGAAAACATGAAAGATGTAATATTCTTTACATCTGAAATTTTAATTAATGTATTTTTTCTGATCATATGAACACCACAAATATAATTTTATAATGTTTTTACTTAACAATAAGTCTTAAACATAAATACACACTGACAATATCATAGTTTTTTTTAAAAAAAAATCATAATTAAAATGGTTGCAAAACATTCCACTTTAATTTATCCCTCCTAATCCCTAGGGTGGTATATTAAGTGAGGGTTTCTCAGCCTCGGGACCATGGGCAGTTTGGGTCAGCCCACCCTTTTCGGGGACACTGTCCTGGCCACTGCAGGATGTGGCTTCACATTCTGGTCTCCGCCTACTGGATGCCAGAAACATCCCTTCCCCTAGCTGTGACAATCAACCCTGTCACCAGACATTGCCAAATGTCCCCTGGAGGACAAAATCAACCTAGGTTGAGAACCAGTGCCTTTTATTTATTTTTTATTTTTTGACTATCATCATAAGACAAAGCCACCTAAACTTCCTTGCTGATGTCCCTCCACTTCTATCTAATTCTATTCAGAGGGAAATTTCCTAGAAGTGACATTACTGTTGTAGAAAAGAGGTATTCACTTGAGAACTTTGATACATATTTGCCAAATTTCTGTCGAAGTATCATTTTTAAAACGTTAAAAACATGACTTTCATACAAACACATACAGAGCAAATGTCAAAGATGTATTTCTCTAATGCAGTGCGACAGCCAGCAGGACAGTGAGGCTGCAGCAGCGTGGGGACAGAGTGCAGAAAGAGGTCGCAGAAGCCTCGGAAGAAGGTCATTCAGTCATACAAGGACACCGTGATGCTCGGGCTGCAGTCCTTTCCAAGTCTACGGGGCGTTGTTCCTTTGTGTCAACACCAGACAAGACTCATGGGCATTGCTGTCAGTGTTCTGTGTGTTATAATACCAGGGACCCTCACATGGCTGTGGTAGATTCTAATCAATAGAAAATAGTAAGTCAAAGCAAAGGCAGTTACCCCTAATGAGAACGTGGAAAGACAGAGCCATCCTTTTGCCTATTTCCAAGTTTTGATTTTTTTTTCTTACATTTTCTTCCTGAAATTTTAAAATTTACCCTCCCTTCAGCTGACTCAGTTCTCATAACCAAACCAGCAGGAAGGATTATCACTCATTTTTATTATACCCTATTGGACAGATAACTCATTATTTTGTTTCCATTTATTTAATTACCAGTGAGGTCAAATATATTTTCACATATTTATTGGCCATTTGTGTTTCAGTTTACTTTGCCTATTCCTGTCTTTTGTCCATTTTCCTTTTGGGGAATTCAACTTTTTCTTATTCATTTACATCTGTATAACAGTAAACATTTGTCTTTCATAAATGTTGCAAATTTTTTTTTCCATTTTTCTTTGCCTTTTCATTTATGTTTTCCTTTAATATAGAAATTTATATGTAGTCAAATCTTGAAATTATTTTTGTGCTTTCACTTCTGGGATTAGGTAGAAAAGTTCTTTCTTAACCCCGGGATTAAATATTTATTTATTTATTTATTTATTTTAGTGTATTTAGAGGTTATACTTAAATTTGTTTTCCATTTGAAATTTATTTTAAAATAAGATGAGTTGGTGATTAACTTTGTTTTTTCCTTTTACCAAAGACTTAGCAAGTTTTATAGACTTTGTTCTTGAGTAATTCATCTTTTTATGTCATATTGCTCATATGTTAGTCCCTGCATGTGAGAGGTCATTTCTGGACTGTCTACTCTGTTCCCTTGATCTGCCTATTGTCTTGGCCCAAGGCCATACAATATAAATTCCTGTTGATTTATAATATACTTCTTTATCTGGCAGAGCAGGTCTTGTTTTAAATGCCACATCTTTTATTTGCAAGTAGACAAAGTGTTTATTTTTGTGGAATTTGGATAAGTTAAAAGGTGGGGTTTTTTTTAAGGACAGTGATTTTTCATTCTCTTATCTAGCCAAATATTTTCCCACTAAAAATGCCTTTAACTTCTTAGTGAACATGTTGAGGATGTCCATTTCCCCACGTATTGAAGGGCAGTGCCACTCACCTTAAATATTGTTACCAGAGCTCATTTTGTTTCCCCAGAGTACCTGGAACATTGAGGTCCAAGGACAAAGGGGGGTGGCAGGTGTCTGAAAGCTGGCAGAGAGCTCTGGGCCCTAGATGGGGTGCAGGGACTCTCACAGCCCCACGTGATGGAAGGACCAGATCACCTGCTACAGAGAGTCTGCAGATCTTCATTTGTTTGTTTGTTTTCATTACCTTCTCAACCAGCTCCTCAAAGTGGGTTCCGTGGACCACTCCATTTCCATGAGATTCAGCTGAGTGGCTGGAGGAGAGCGCTTTTTGGTTCAGGGAGGAAAAAAGTGCCAGGTTGGATAATACTGAGCAAGTTCCTCTACTGCAGGACCTCTCAGGACCTTTCATCTCTGATATTCTGTGACTCTCCAACAATGTGATGATTATTAGACCTTGGCATCCTGCTTCAAGAAACAACCACCAACATCTCAATGAATGCCTGCCTTCCAAGCATTGCTGCCTGGGAAAGGCTATTTTCCTGGTACTATTTTCAAACAACATTGTGGTAAAAAAAGAAATGTCGGTGATTCCTCAAGGATCTAGAGCTAGAAGTACCATATGACCCAGCCATCCCATTACTAGGTATATACCCAAAGGATTATAAATCATGCTGCTATAAAGACACATGCACACGTATGTTTATTGCAGCACTATTCACAATAGCCAAGACTTGGAATCAACCCAAATGTCCATCAGTGACAGACTGGATTAAGAAAATGTGGCACATATACACCATGGAATACTATGCAGCCATAAAAAAGGATGAGTTTGTGTCCTTTGTAGGGACATGGATGCAGCCAGAAACCATCATTCTCAGCAAACTATCACAAGAACAGAAAACCAAACACCGCATGTTCTCACTCATAGGTGGGAACTGAACAATGAGATCACTTGGACTCGGGAAGGGGAACATCACACACCGGGGCCTATTATGGGGAGTGGGGAGGGGAGAGGTATTGCATTGGGAATTATACCTGATGTAAAGGACGAGTCGATGGGTGCTGATGAGTTGATGGGTGCAACACACCAACATGGCACAAGTATACACATGTAACAAACCTGCACATTATGCACATGTACCCTAGAACTTAAAGTATAATAATAAAAAAAAAAGAAAGAAATGTCTCCAACAGTGAAAATGAGAATGACCATAATTATTTATACTCATTGACAACAAGAGTAGGATTTATTCTACCTTTGGTGGAAACTTCTATTTTTATGAGAGTCTTCCAAGCATTTTCTTGACAGTCCTCGCCCCTTCCCAGTGAGGCATGACGAACAGGCGTTGCCACGCCGGTATGGTGAGGAAATCGAGGTTGAGCGTAGACATTGTGTGGCCATGGCATCTGCTTAGAAGTCTTTATCTGTTGGCTCCAAAACAGAATTTGTAGTTTTCCTTTGCTGTGTAAATGTTACCACAAACTTAATTACTGAAACCGATAACTGTTCATTAGTTCATAGATCTTACAGGTCAGAAGTCAGAGTGCAAGGAGGCTGGATTTTCTGCTAAAGGTTTTGTGCAGTGAATTTGGGTGCTGGCTGGACATTTTTCATTTCTGGAGCCTCTGGGAAGAATCTGTTTCTGCCTCATGCAGATTGTTGGTGGAATTCAGTTCCTCCTAGCTGTAGGAATGAGAACTCCAGCTCTTAGAGGCCACCCACATTCCTTGCCACATGGGCCCTTCCACCTTCAAACCAGCAGTAGAAAATCTCCCTCATGTTGAATTCCCATCACCCTCAAATATCTTTCTTCAGGAAGAGCCTCATCACCTGATTAGATCAGGGCCACCCAGGAAAATCTCTGTATCTTGAAGTCAATTTATTGGATTCGTCTGCAAGACTTTGATTTTATCTGCAAGATCTCTTCACAGCAGAACCTAGATTAGTAATTGATTTAATAACTGGGTGACAATTTGTGTATACTGGGGCCGGGGGAAAATGGAGACTTTCAGGGGCTATCTTAGAACTTTGCCTCCCTTGTTCATTTCGTTCTCATTAGGGGCATCAGGACTGTACTTGCTTTAGATCCTTCCTGTGCTACTAGGATGATCCATGTGTGACTGGGGAATCAATGAGTCTGAACAGATTTGTTTTAGTGTGAGTAGAATGCATCCGAAGATGCCAATGAGGACAACCTGGAAAAGTCTTTATGTCTGACAAAATGCGTTCCCTCCTGCCTGCCTCCTGTTCTAGAGATCAAAATAATCGGCATTGTTGTTAGAAAGTTACCATTTTATGCATGATTTTAAAAGAGTCTATTTTAGGCTTCCCTGTTGTCTGTGGTTGATATGGTGCTTGATATATTTGGGACAATGAAATGACAAACAATCGTGGCACTGCTATTCTTGACAGGATGTTAATATAATTCACCTTTTGTTTGCCCTCAATGATAAATCAAAAGAAATGACCAACCCCAAATCCTCACACTGAGACATTTGGGTATGAATATCACATCCTTGCACCAGGTCATTGTATTCACCAGGCTGTAGCTGATCGCACTTTCTGAATTCTTGATGGCAAATGTGTAAAAGTTCCTCCGTTTGTAAAGTTTTCAGTGAGATCCCAGCAAGTAAAAACATTAGCCCCAACGGGCTGCCTGGGGTGTATGTGGGTTGATTGCAGCTCTCTGTATTCAGGCAGAGTTGGGAAAGAGGTGCTGGAGAGATGCTGAGGGATTATCCGCTCAGCCTCCACCAGCCTCATCTCTGAGGGAACCGTTGGCTGTCCATTCTGACCCGAAGAAGCTGGATTTCCTGTTTCCATGTGAGGCGAGCGAAGCTATCTGGGGACTAGAGAGGAGCCCCACTGCATGGTTTCCTCTGCTGGGGGGCCTGGTCACCAACAGCCTCCCCTTCCCAGTTGTTCCCTCTGAGCTCTGAGGTCATAGACAAAGCCAAGCCCAGAGACAAGGGGCTGAGGCTCATTTTCTCGAACAGATCATATTAATATCATTAAGCTGCCTGGTTTTAATTTTCGACCACTTCCCAACTGTCTACTTAGGAGTGTTTAAAGCCAAACCCATTCATTCTTTCCACCATTTACTGGAGATCGGAGCCGTTTAATGAGTGTCCTGTGAGGAGGAAGGGTTACAGATCAGGAACAACCAGAGAGTGATGAGAAAGGAGAATTAGAAGTTGGAAGAGAAAGGCAAGATAATAAAAGTGTAATTTAAAACATCATACTTGCACAATTACCATGGTGGGTTGCTTAACAGGGAATCTAAATTTATCTCATTGCTGAGAGTCCGCTGTGAGAAATAAAATTTAAGAAAATCTGGGGGGCATCCCAGTTCTTCTCAACAACTATATCTAAGGGTTCAGTCCATGGGAAATACAGCTCCAGGGGGATTTAAAGTGCTGCAGCCATCCTGCGCACCCCAGTAGGTCACCAGCCCTGTGCCAAGCTTTTGGGATCCAAGCTCAGTCACTGGGCAGACCTTCTCCCGTAATCTTTGAGAGAGAGAAAGAGGCATGTGACTGGACTGCTCCCATCACAGTGTCTTCTTGTGTTAACAGGCTTTACATCTCAGAGCAAAGGGTGGTGGTGGCTGCTGAGGTCAGCTCTTCTGGTAGTCTCCCTGCTTGCCTTCACCTGCCACATACCCACATAGCTGCCCCCATAGATGTCCCTTGGGGATCACCAACATTTCTTCCCTTCATCCACCTTGGCAATGCTGAAATCTTGCACTTCTCAGTAATCAGCTCTGCCACCCACTCCGATCTCACTGCAGGAGGCATCTCTGTGTCTGGAGTTCCCAGTGCTCCAGCTCAACCTGGAGACATCCTATTGGCTCTGTCCCTCTGCCTTCCTCCTTCTGGCCAGGCCAGTTCTGCCCCCAGACCACTGGGGAAGGGACCTCACCTGCCTTCCTGCTCTCCTTCTTGCCCCGCCACCGGTGTCTAGTGTTCTCCCAACTGGGAGAAGAGGAGGTTTAAACCCTCAGGAACATTACATCGTGCCCCTGTCAGGGTCCTCCAATGGCTTCCCACTATGCTTAAAGTAGAATGCAAATGTTCTGACGCCTGTAGGGCCCTGCATTGTTTGGAGACCGCCTCTTCCACTGCTGCCTTCAAAAGCAGACTCCCCTTTTCGCTTACCGGGACTTTAGGGGCCTTTTCAGGCACTGGGCTTCTGTTTGGAGCACACAGCCTCCCCTCCAGATCTTCCCACAAAAGGCACAGGTCTCTATTCACATGCACTTCTACAGAGAGGCCCTACATGGAATGGAAGTCTAGTAAGACAGCAGTCTCACCAGGTTGGCACAGGGCAATTGGTCAAATGTGTGGAAAATGAGTAAAGATGGAGATGAGTAACTTCCCTGATATTTCAGAAGGTTTCACCATTTAAGCGAAGAACCAAGATAGGTTTTAGCTACTAAGGTCAGTTTATTTTATTAACAGTGGGCTGGGTTTTCTCTTCCAAGCAGTATAGGAGCTTCGGAAGGTGCACGGACCCAAATGAGGGTCATTAGCCATGTACAGTGATTGAGATATACATTTAAATTAATTAGCATGAAATATAATGAAAAAAGACTCAGTCACATCCTCGACATTTCATTTCAAATGCTCCGTCGTCACATGTGGCAGGTGGCTGCCAATTGGGAAGTGCAGGTGTACAACGTTTTTGTCATTGTCACCAGTTTGATTGCACAAAGCTGTCAGAAAATGTTGCTAAAGGCATTGTTATCCTCTCTTAAGAACTTCAGTCCACTGGGAAAGGAAAGGTGAGTCAACACCATCTGATAAGTCTCTAGTAGATGTATGAATGGGTGCTAAGGATGCCCAGAGGCCAAAGGGGCCTTCAGTTGCTGACTTCTGAGCCAAGTCTTCAAGGAGGACCAGGAGTTATCAGGTAATGAAGAGAGTAGGAGATTAGAAGCTGACCCTATTAAGTATCTTGAAAGTAAATACAAATGTAAAAGCATTCAGAACAAGATGTAAAGGTCTGAGTGTGTTTGTGTGTTTGCTTGCCCATTCTTCTCTCCTCTCTTCCTTACAGATTTTGTTTAAAATAAAAGAGCATGCCTCTTTTGTTCCTTGTTGAGATTGACATATATAGAAGTTTATAACAGAAAAGTGCTGGGGAGTACTGGGCTAAGTTACACAGCATAGCAGCAGCTTAACTTGCATTTGGGAGATAGTGATGGAGGAAGATTGTGTAAGCTGCTGTCTTAGTCCATGTGGTTAATAGATAAAGAACAGAAATTTATTCTGTCATTGCACTAGGGTCTGGGAAGTCTAAGATCAAGGTTTGGTGTCTGATGAGGGCACAATCTCTGCTTCCAAGATGGGCCTTGTTGCTGCATCCTTAGGAGGGGAAAAATGCTCTGTGCTCACTTGGTAGAAGGAACAGAAAGGCAAAAAGGGCCTTAAGCTCATTCTCTTCAGCCCTTCCATAAGGTACTAATCCATCATGAGGGTGAAACCCTCTTAATTACCTCCTAAAAGGCTCCACCTTCTACTTCCACCACAGTGGAGATTAAGTGTCAGTATTAATTTTGGATGGGACGCTATATTTTCATACAAATAAAAACTCTCAAGAGGGGAGTCAGAGTCTTAGATTTCTGTACATGAGACGCTCCTGTGATAAGTAGTGGTTTCAGCGTTAGGATGGGGTTCCTCAACAAACTTGGGTGCTCTGTGCACTCACAATGTCAATGGCTTAGCCTTCTCCCCTGGGGGAAGCTAACTTGGCAGTCTCTCCGACTCACATGATGTCGGTTATTTCCTTGCCAGGGTAAAGGGTTATTAGCCCACCTGATACTCAAGAGTTTCAACTCTCCACACCTTCTACCTGCTTTCCCTTTGTGACTTTGCTTTCTGGTGTCCATGATTCAGTTCCCTAGTGGACAGGCAGGCAGGTGAAGTTTATGCAACCATTTCATATCCAGGTCTTTGTCCCTCTCCCCTCTCCCCCAGCACCTGGTAGAATGCTTCCCAGTAGCAGGCACATACCGTATGAATACATGATGTTTCAAGTCACAAATGAATAGATGTTTTCCTGGTTGGAGGCCCCAGTGCTTGACTGGGCTTTGGTATTGCCCTTGTTATCCTAAGCCCCATTCCTGGGACTGTGGATAGTAGAGAAATAAGATAGAGGACTTCCAGATTCCTTGAGAGGCTCCAGAAATAATCCTATGGATAGTTCTACTTGGATTTCCCAGAAGCTGTGTGAGGAGGGGGTGGCAAAGGAGAGAAGAGAGGTGGTGGCATGCTGAATAGACCTCTTGGGGTCAGTTGATGGAAGGAGAAAGGGAGTATGGCACTGATAAGAGACTCTAAAACTGCTCACCCAGA